TTATGTACAACAAGAATTATTCATAAAATTATCCATCTAGGATGGAAACAGAAATATGATCCTCAACTCGACTATTATTTTTTATTTTTGACATTTTAGATTTTAAACCGTATTCAAAAATAAAAAAAAATCAGCAGTGCAATTAACACGGAATTATTTTTAATCATCAACCCCGGCCGTGGCTGAGATGAGGAGGTTGTCCTGACCATGCTCTGCTTAGTTATCATCTATGTCCTAAATAATCTATACATGGTATCATAAAAATAAAATTAGCAGATAACCTTGAGGGGTTACTCAATTGGTCAAGTTTTGGGTTTACTTCCAAATGGTCACCAGTTCGAGTCCCCATAAGAGTCACTGAGGTGAGTATTCGGTCATAAACTTCAGGGCCCCGTGAAATTAGTCGAGATGTGCACAAACTGACCTGAACATCCACGGTTATAAAAAAAAAAAATTAGTAGACTTGTTTATTTTCTTCTCGCCCCATCGAGAATTTTCGAGAGAAGAGGAGGGGACTAAAATACCTCATTTACCATCTCGTTTAATTATTTATTTAGTTTTTAACATTATTTTATTTTTAAAATTGAAAATCATAAAAATAAAATAAGATAAATGATTCAGGAGATGGACTATGTTTCATGTCCTATTTATTTAACAGGGTGGGACACAAAATTTTGTCATCTCTGAATTTTATATTTTAACACTTTTACGAGACTAGGGGTAATTTTGAAAATGTATTTAATTGTAAAAATTGGCATTTTATTTTTGCTATAAGGACCTTGTTCTTTTAAGTTCAAATTGTCGTCTCCAACATTTCGTCTCCTTAGCTAAAACCAAATTCGTGGACCAAATTGTGGAATGAAGAAACAAGATACAACATCTTTCTCGAAGTATAAAACATAGTCCGTTTAACAAATGAAAGTTGGATCTTTTAAACCGAAATTCATTACATTTTACAACACTTTCATATTCTATCACATAGCATTTTGTGCTCTTTATAATCATATAGTCCTCGTGTTCAGTAGTGGTGCCGTACAATCGTCGCCCGTGCTGGCTCCATTGAGATTTATAGGTGCAACCACATAATTGAAGTTTTCAAAGCCGTTGTGACCATGAAGACAACGAACTGCCGAACTGGGAAAGATGAGTAGTTTGGGGCATTTTTTTTTGGGGAAATTAGACTGCATAC